TTAAAATGGATAGCAAAAGGAGTATTGCCAGTCTCTGCATTCAACATATTAAAAATGAAGATTACTTTTTCAAAGTACCCTTTCTAACTCAAGTATAATTTATTTACCAGCATTCCTATCTCTCACGATCGCCATCCCAAGAATATTCTTCACTACTTCGAAATCCTTTATATTAAACTCTTCACGAAGTTGAACACTCACATTCATTACCACTACTTTATCCTTGGCAGCTATCAACATAAATTAGTAGATGTATAAACGACCCATAATCACATTTCCTAAAGTACACACAACTATCGAAACTGCTTCTTTTAAATTCATGAGTGGTCATGAATGAGTCAAGTCTTTTATACCACCATCTTAGTGACTACTTTATGCCATAGAGGGACTTCTTTAATGAACATACATAGTCTTCATTTCCCGTGAATACAAAACTATCTGGTTGTTCTATATAGATTTTCTCCTCTAATTCTCCATATAAGAATGTTGCATTCACATCCAACAGCTCAAGTTCCAAATCATGCTTAGCCATAGTACCATGCAAAACTCTAATTGAACTACACTTTTGCACTCGAGAATACACAATTGTGATGTCAACACTTGAAATTTGATTATAATTCTTAACTACTAACCTTGCTTTTTGCCTTGCATCTTCAACCCTTGATATACATTTCTTTTTTTTGAAAACCTATTTACAATGAACAATCTTCTTTCCATTGAAGTGATTCTATCTTCTCTTATAGGAATTATCCATTTGTCAAAATCATTGCAATTCACCGATTCTGTGTATGTAGCAAGCTCTTCACTGAAATCAATATTTTTAACCATACGCAATGTATATTCTACCAAGTCAGCTTCTCCATATTTTTCTGAAGGTCTAATCACACTTTTAGATCTATCTTTAGGAGTAGAATTCTAGGGTACCACTGGCAGTAGTGGCAAAACGGTAATCTCCTTCATTTCTAAACTAGACTGCAGTGTAGACTTTAGTTTAGACTCTGAACTAATCTCCAACTCCACTTGAGTAATTTCTTTATGTCGATTTGTATTACCAGATTATCTAAAAGGTAGACTATGAACCATTTCATATTAATCAAACACAACATCTCTACTAATCACTAGCTTATGTGTTTCTGAACATAAAAGTTGTATCCCTTAACACTGGATTTATACCCAAGAAAGATACTTTCTAGACCTTGACTTCAACTTTCCATTATTTATATGAGCTAAGCAAAGTAGTCAAATATTTTCAAATTTGAGTAACTAAGGAGAGATTTAGACCATACCTCTCTGATGTCCTTTAATCAGTAGCAATTGAGAGAGCGATTTATAATAAAATAAGTTGTAGATGCAGCTTTAACCCAAAGTGTTTTAGGTTACTCAACATTTGAAAGCATATAATGATCTTTCTTCATCAAAGTTCTATTCATCAATTCTGCCACATTATTTTGCTATGGAGTACTAGGCACTATCAATTGCCTCAAAATCCCTTTCGACCTATAGAAATTATTGAATTCATTCGAACAAAATTCCAATCTATTATCTGTGCAGAGATGTTTTACTTGCTTCACAGTTTGCTTCTCTGTCTTCTATTCTTGGAAGGTATCATACACATCACTTTTCTACTTCAAGAAGAAAATCCAAAGTCTCTTGAAGAAATTATCAATTATTGTCAACAAATAGTATGCACCTCCTTTAGAAGACACCATCGCCAATCCCCAAATATCGAAATGTATATAATCAAGTGTTTTCTTTGTGCTTTGTCTCCTTTTGGTGAATCCTCTTCTACTCAATTTAGTCATCCCATTCTCACGCATATGCCCATGCCATATATACCGAACTATAGTAACTTCTTTATCAGATGAAAAAGTAGGGACAACTGCATTCCCCATAACTATAGAGACCTAGAAAATATATAGTTGAAAGAGACATCTTTTTGCTTTTATCAAAACAAGAGCACCTCTGCCAACTTTCAGAGCTTCAGTGTCACTAGTGCATTTGTACCCCTTTAGATCAAGGGTACTCAAAGATATGAGATTTTTCTCAAGGTTCAAATTATGCTTCACATTAGTAAGTCCTGACATTCCAATCGAACATTTTGATCCCGATTGTTTAGTTTAAGCTATTTTACAAAGCTTGTTGTTTCACATAATTTCATAGCACCTTTCAGAACATATTCATATGTTGTAACCCAATCCCTATTGGGACATGTTCACGAAATATTTTCTTTCAATTTAAAACTACCACAAGTGTACGGTTCGTTAATAAGTAATAAAGTGGATTCAATGAGTCCGAATATCATCCCACAGAGATTGATTCGTTCAATTTTATCTATCGTCGCCTTAACCGAAACAATAGAAATTCTTGATATTTTCGCTAACTAAATTATGATTTAATAACCTACTTATAAATATAAAGCCTAAATTAACTAGATTAAATGCGGGATTATAAGTAAATGCAAGTTTTATAAAAATATGATAACGAAATGTGTACTAGGATCCCGAATCCCCTTATATCAATCCTCTTTAATCCGAATTTTATAAAATTGACAACACGATTCAATTATGGAGACCAATATTCCTAATTTGTTTAACAATCTCTCTCGAGTAGAATTAAACCTGTTTTCACATGCGATCCGACTATATTTCTATGACGGATGTGAATATATAAAAATACATTAAAGATTTATGAATACTTAAAGATCACGTAAAGCATAGCGGTATATTTCTATCCCCTATCAAACTTTACGATAATTAACATAATATCTAACTTATTTTCCATTTCTCGAGGGTAAAACAAGCCACAAAGCTCATACAACTATTACGCACATAATTGTAGAGAAAATAAAATCCATGCCAATCATTCAATAATTAAAAACATGTTTTAACGTCAAATTAATATAATTCAAGATTAAAGGTTCATAATATAAGGTTCATCGCAAATCCTAGCACAAGAAAATTTAGCCTAACATAATGAGAAATAAAGAAAAGCAATAATTAAAACCAAGGAAGAATATCACCCAATTGATTCTTGAAGTGAAATCTTGAATCTTGAAGTGGATTGCCTTGTTCTTCCTCTCCAAATCCTCCAAAATTGTGCATATTCCCCCCTTTTTTATGTTTCAGGGTCGTCTGATATTTATTGGGGACGGAATTAGGTCAAGGAAGTCGCCCAAAATCTTACTAAGTAGAATACATTTTTATCAAACTCTAGCAGTGCATCATCCAAATCCATCTACGAGAGAAAAACTCGCATATTTGCCTGCCATAGCAAAAGTCTCACATTGCTATTTAAAGGTGGATTATCATATTTTATCCTTGCCATACAGAAAATCATCCTCTCTCTGATATCAGTATGTTATAAATAAAGCAAGATAAAATAAACCAAACAATAAGGAACACAAAGATTTATGTGGGAATTCACGACGGGAAAAAAATCACGACCAAAGAAGAAGAATTCACTAAATCAAAATCAATGATTTGTGCAGGATTTGATGCTCTCAACCAAATCTAAATGTTCTTTAATGCTATTAAGAATCAACAACATAACCCTAAAAACTGTGTTTCAGATGGAATAAATATCTCAAAATTCATCAAAATGTGAAGCAAGTTTTGGCCAGATAACATAGTCATTTAACGCTAGAGTGATAGGCTTGTGGGTAACGAGTGGCATCTTCCATGTTCTGAGTCCTCAAGTGGAAGACGAGCTCTCAACGAGCCAAAATGTAGTGACTACTTCTCCTTGGTCCATATTTAGACTTCTCTAAACGCCTCTTCATCCAAACTAGCAATACCCCATAGGATTTTGGGCACACTTCAACGTCGACCCTAATTACAACTCGATTAAATAACATTGCCAACACTTTAGACCTAACAGAAACATTTTTATTCCATATTATTATTGACTATTCTTAGGGCTCGTTTGACATAACTTTTTTTTTTGTTTCTATTTCTTGTAGAAAAGCATTTGAACGAAGCTACCTTCATTTTTATTTGAAAGTTAATTTTTAAAACTAGGAAGCCATTCGGCAAGTGGTTTTAGAAATATTCACATTGAATCAACTTCCTCTAAAAACTCTTGTAACTACCAAGAACACTTTAAAAAATTAGCTAAATGGGTTCAAAAGCAAAGCTCATTTCAACTTTTCAAAAGCCTTGGTAAATGAGCTCTTAGTTTTTATTGAAAAATAGTTCCACTTTCTATATCTTTTAGCCAATCATTGACACAGGAACTTTGACTTTTCCATGCTCGTATACGAAAATCCAGACTCGATTACAATAGAAATTTTCAATTACAAGCTTGCCTTTAGAAATTATAATCACAGCAGTCACGAATTGGTTCTCTCTCTTATTAGAGTTGAGAAGTAAAAAATGAAAATTTCCCTCTTATTTTTTATTTTTTAATAACGGGGAATCCGCAGCAGTTACCCTTCGGGTGTACATTGGGTAAACCCTCGAGCTAACGCAATAGCGTACAAACCACTCCAACCAAGTAAACCACACTAGACAAGCCTTGTGCATCAGACTCAACCGAGAAAATGTTGATAGGGGAAATTGAGCTCGTGACCAAAGGTCTCCGTGCTCACCCACTCTATCAACTCGATCACCCATGAGGGGCATGAAAATTTCCCTTTGCGTTTCCAAGGAAATGGATAAGGTATCCATAGCAATATCCACGAAGAAGTGCTTCTTTTTTATTTTATTTGTGTTTGATGAGAACTTAATGGCTCCAATATAGATTATTATTATTTTTTCACAACGGAACATTTAATAAGAATGTTTATATTTTTTTCACTTAAAGTGAACATATATATTGTTCAAATCATTATTTTTTTAGTTTCTATTTTGCTTTAGTGCCTATAATATGTTACAAACAAATTTTTTTATTTAATTTTAAATTAGCCTAATTCCTATTTAGTAGAATGACCATGTTTGGAAATACCAATGTATCCAAAAACTTTAATTTCATTAACCAAAAGAAAGGATACGTCTTTATTCCATAATCTTATTGACTGATCTCAGTTTTTATTGAGAAATACTTTCAATTTTTTATATCTTTTAGCCAACAATTGGCACACGATATGCAACTTTTCCATGCTCATCTACATAAACCCAGACACGATTACAACAGAAATCATCAGTTACACCCTCGCCTCTATGAACAATCACAGCAGTTACGAATGGATTGTCTTTCTCAATGATTCTCTTGGCTTGTTCTCCATACATACCAAGTGTGTTAGGCCACATGAATTTATACCCTGTAAAGAAATATTTTAACAACTTAAAAATGAACTAAATTAAATTTACAAATAAAAAAAATGCTTAGTATTCGAAAGAAGCATAATCCTTGCGTTAAAATTTTAATTATTTGGAAGTTTAAGCAACATAACTCACCTCCAGAACAACACTTAGGGTCAGTGCAGATTCCACTCTCACAAGACGGATGCATTTTTTTATACTTCAAGTAACTTTTTACTTTGTGGTTATGGTTAGTGCCTATTTGCACCATTTTATAATCTTTTTTTTGGGTCAATAGCTAGATAGTAATTACAGTAATCCTAGTTAATTATAGTAATACTCTACAGAATTTTCGACATGGTTGATGCTTTAAATTTTGACCGATTTCTCAATTCAAATATGATTCTATTGATTTATTCCTATAATCCCGATGAATTATATGAATGGTTTTTAAATTCTCGAAATATTTTATTGTAATTAAAGCTCTAGAATTATTGAAATCTTATAACAGCAATAATTGTGAGGAGAATAAGAATTCAATTAATTAACTTAATCCAAATTATTTTCAAAAAAGTTATGTATGGAATCTGGAAAAGAAATTGGGATCGCAATTGATTTTGTTTCAAATGAAAAAAAATTAAAGAGTATGAATTACACATCTAGTATGTTTTTTACATATCTTTTACGGGACAGATATTGACTAATTTTGTAATTGTCCAGTTGGATGATTGAAACTCTACAAAATTGCAATAAATAATAAAGTGTACAGAAATTCTCTACCCAAACTTTATCTGAACAATCCATTAAAAGTAATTTTTGTAAATCTAGAACCGATAATTAGCTAAAATTAAGCAAAAAGTTTGAAAATTCTAAACTTAATGTTATTAACAAGACTAAAAACGTTTGGACTCATGATATCACCATAATTTTTCTAATTCAACTTTCGCATATGAAGTTCGTCCTTGTTGCGATCAACTCCCTCTCAATGTTTCGTTATGTTTTGTTCTGACTTCTTTCCTCGTCAATGCACTTGCACTTCCACTTTGGCCTCAACTATTGCTCCTTTCTTCAACAATTAATTCCAACTCCTCAAATTACTCCCCATCGTCATTTTCTGATCTTCTCCCTTCAAGTTCGAGTTATCCTAGAATAATGAAAACACAAGATATCAATATAAACTAGAATGGATTGCAAGAATTTATATACTAATTCAGCATCCGATAAGTACACTGATCAGAAACCAACGATTCATTGAATTAGATTTCCTATTAGGCTCTCCAATCTAATTAAATCTCTCTTCTTTTAATCATACCAATAATAATATGACTCCCACAGTTATTCATTTGTTCAATCTCCCTCTAATATGCCTAAAACATGCCCTCACATACTGAAATGAAAGACATATTGTCCATATGAGTCTGAACAGTTGTTGTATTTGCTCCAGCTGTTGAATAGTTTTTTATGATAAGATTCGGTTGTCCACACTGATCGGGTTGGTATTTTTTCCAAAGTTATGTGCAGTCCCAAATTATTGACTTGTACTCATCATAAGTTCTACTTATATTCCTAGTTGCAATTAAGGCCATTTTAACTTTTGAAACTGTTGATCAAGATCCCAGAGCTCAAATCAAAAGAAGAACACATCAATTTGGGACTCTTCAAGAAAAAAAGAAAAAAAAAAGAATTATCTTAGCATCAATCTTTAATTGGGTTTATGTTTTGTCTTTATCTGTAATTGACTATTCCTTAGACAAAATTAAATTAATGGAGTTGTGATTAAAGTTGATATGTTGGTAGTATAGGTCTTAAAGTGTCAAAATGTCAAAGAAATATCATAGTGCCACAAAAGTCATGCCCCAAATTCTCATTCAAAAGTTGTAATACATTTTTCACATAGAAAACATTTGAATTTGAAACATGCTACATCAAGAAGAATTGCAGTCATTTGAGTTAGCTTTCCAATGCTCTTTGAATTGCCTCAATCAGATATCGAAAGAAAAAGATATGATGAAAATACTAATGACTACCTGGAGAGAGCTTGTTGGCCACTCTTTAGGTGCTCGAGTGACCAAAACAGAACCTTGGCCACTAGCTAGGCACTAGCTTGGTGCTCTAGCATCTGTGTTACGTGTCCAAGACATAGATCAAAATTTTTAGCTTTTTTACAGCCTCAAATAGCATCAAACACTTCATATTATAAATACCTAAACCATATTCTGTCCCGAAAGTGTGTTGGATCATTATTTTACATTGAGGATCACCTTCTTGAAGATTCAAAACACATTCCAAAGATCTCTTGATTAAATAAATAATGTTTTGTTGCATGTTATTGATTTAATTCCGTACATTTGAGTTTAAATAATCCCCAAAAATAATGTGTGTGCGTATTTGTTACTTTATGTGAACGACATATTAATTGGACCTAGTATGAAGCTGGTAAACAAGATTAAAATGGATTTAGGAAAAAGAATTTGATATAAAAGACCTAGGACATGCTGTGATTATCCTTGGTATGGAGATTAACTGAGACGTGTTTAATTCTTGCTTTTGCGTGTATCAAACTCCTTATGTGCTTAAAATTTTGAAAATTTTTGACATGCCTGATTGCAAACTTGCTTCCGTGCCTTGGAGTCTGTATTAGACCTGATTAACTTTCATTGTAAGTGTGTTAAGTTGGTACATGTCTAATCCTAGTCCCAAACATTGGAAAGCATTAAAGTGGTTGCTTAGGTACTTGAAGGGTATCTTTGATGCGGGGTCAGTTTATAAATCAGCTAATGAAGATCTAAAAGTTAAAGGTCTAATAGATGCTGACTATAGTGGCAATAGAGATAATAGGAAATCATATAGTTCGTATGGAGCATATTATTGAGACTATTTAAAATAATCGACCCAATAATACACAACTTGTAGCCCACAAAAGAAGTTTGATAAAGTATTGCATTTAGGGCCCAATATGTTATCTTCTTGGACATTATTTGATCTTTTTAAACTGATATTGGTCCTTTCAATGACACTCCCAACACTTGACACCTTGACGGTTATGAATAGAACAAGATATATGTACAAGATGAAATAAACCAAACAATCAAGAATACCAAGATTTACATGAAAACCTAAGATGGGAAAAAATGACGGGTAGAGAAGGAGAATTCGCTAAATCAAAATGGATGACTTGTTCATGTTAAGATTTGGGGTCCATCTTAATAAGGTCAACCTTGTTAAGAGGAGTGTCCCAATCCTTTATATATTGGTCATTATTTCGGTACTTTACCGATGTGGGATTATATTCCCTTAACATGCCCCCGCAAGATGGTGGCTCGGTTGAACAGACCAATCTTGAAATCCGTGTGCTCATTTTTAGAGACTTATTGTGAGAATGAGATCATCCACATAAATGAGAAAATATGCAGTTAGATCATCCATATGATATATAAATAAGGAGGGAAGAGAAAGTAGCACGCCAGGTTGTCACTTCTTTGGGCAAGGCCTTTTCTCTCAAAGATCTTGGCCCATTAAGTTTCTTTTTGGGTGTTGAAGTTATCCCCACCACAGACGGTATATTTTTATCTCAGCATAAGTATATTAGGGAATTACTCTCTAAAACAGGCCTTGACAATGTGAAAGAGATTTTGACCCTAATGTCTACCTCTGATGTTCTCTGCCTGGATGATGGCACAACCTCTGTTGATTGCACGGAGTATCGTCGAATTATTGGTTCACTTCAATATCTATCTCTTACGAGACCTGACATTGCTTTCCCGATTTCTCGCCTTGCTCAATTTATGCATAGACCAATAGTGACACATTGGACAACAGCTAAACGGTTATTGCGATACCTCAAAGCGACTCTTTATCATGGTCTACGGCTTCGCAAAACTAAAGGTCTTCATCTCACTGCATACTTCGATGCTGATTGGGCAGGCAATATGGATGATCGAACTTCCACTTCAGCCTACATCATTTATCTTGGCAACAATCCTATATCCTGGAGCACACGAAAACAGCGCGCTGTTGCGCGCTCCTCCACCGAAGCTGAATATCGTGCTCTTGCGACTACTGCTTCGGAAATAGCATGGCTTACTTCCCTCTTTCAAGAACTACATGTGACTCTCCCTGCTATACCAAAATTATATTGTGACAATATTGGTGCCACTCAGCTCAGCTTAAATCCTATTCAACATTCCCGCATGAAGCATATTGCCATTGATATTCATTTTGTTCGGGACTATGTTAACAAAGGCCTGCTAAATGTATCTCATATATCTACCCGTGATCAACTTGCGGGTCTCATGACGAAGGCTCTTTCAAAGACTCGCTTTCAAGAGCTTCGCACAAAGATCGGTGTTGCCGATGGAAGCACCGTCTTGCGGGGGCGTGAAAAGGATTCTTGATCTTAGCCCTATAATCTTGGTCAGACTACCAATCTACAGGAGCAAATCATGGACTGTTAATCTCATCTCTAAAATCATGGATAATCAACCAATCTACAGCCACAAATCATAGACACAGTTGCTATAAATTTGCTGCTATTCCTTGTATATTGATTCACTATTAATAGGCTTCCTAGTATAGTTTTTTTGGTTTATGTATATATATAGCTTGCTGCCCTCATTGCAATTTGTGTACAAAAGCCAAACAATTGTAATATACAAAGTATTTTTCTTACAGCAGAACATCTGTCCTTCTTTATAATTTGTTCTTCTTTATGGTATCAGAGCCCATTAAGCTCCAACGAGCGATTCGATCCGATTAAGTCTCTAAAAATGAGCACACGAATTTCAAGATTGGTCTGCTCAACCGAGCCACCATCTTGCGGGGGCATGTTAAGGGAATATAATCCCACATCGGTAAAATACCGAAATAATGACCAATATATAAAGGATTGGGACACTCCTCTTAGCAAGGTTGACCTTATTAAGATGGACCCCAAATCTTAACAGTTCACAAGATTTGATGCTCTCAACCAAATCCATTGTTGTCTAATCTATGAAGAGCCAACGATACGTGGAGTATTTAATATTTATACAACCCTAAAACTGTGTTTTAGAGGGAATTGGCATCTAAAATTTGTCAAAAAGAGTAACAAGCTTGGCCAAATAACATAGTTGGTCATCTACCAAGTGTATTAGGCCATATGATTTTATGCCCTGTAAAGAAGTATTTTAACAATTTAAAAACGAACTAAAATAAATTTACAAATAAAAAAATATGCTTAATATTCAAAAG